TTACTTAGTATCTAGCAAATTAAATATTGTATCAGAGTAAAAAAATCTGTGGGCCATTCAGAAATTAATTACAATTTAATTAAGAATGCATTTTAAATTCCATTTCAATTCCTGAATTTGCCGTTCAGATTTAAAATGCACAGCAATAAAATGAAAATTCACTGAAACTGGAGAATATGGTCTTATGGTGTTTAGACAGACAGTGAGACAAAGACGACTTTTGCAAATAGCTGCTGAGGTTCCTAGGATGTTTAACATTAGGTCAGAGATGAATGTTAATTCTGGTCTGCTCAACCAAACGAGCTCCAAGAACAATTCAGCATCCACTGTTAAGACATCTTAAGTGCAAAATGCATAGCTGGAATTCTGTATTAATCTGTGTTTTGGGATTTTGAAAAGGTCCTACAAGATATTTTCTATCAGGCAACAACATACAGTACTTGACCAATGCGCTGCCAAATCACAGTTCTGCTAAACAAACCAGTTACACGCGTTACTGCATCAGCAACAATGCTCATCAATCAAGGGAGAGACAGACAGACAAACAGAAAGACAGTTTCCCTCAACTTTTTCCCATGTTCCGTGACAAACACCATTTTAGAGAGCATTTTAAGGGGTTTCTGGTGGACAGATAAGTGCAATTTCAAAGGGCTGATTCATCAAGCATCTGTTTTTAACGCCATCTTATTTAGCAGAAGCAGCATGATGAGTGAGGACAGTTTTAATGTGTAGAGCTTGATGAGAGTGCATAGCAGGAGCTCTTTCATGGCCATGTGTCACGACCGCTGTTTACGGCCTTTGAATGTGGTAACGATGCCTCTTCCCCTGGACTGTGGCTGACATTTTTGTTGCTCTCCTTTATAGGTGTCAGTAAAGCCTTTACCCCAAAGCTGGTGTTGGTTACTGCAGACACACCCTGTGGATAGCGGAACCCATTTGTAGTCACATAATCACCACAACTGGAGACCAGAAATGGAGAACAAAACATCAGGAATGAGCGAGGGCCTCCATGTGAACTGCAGTATGTCTGGAAGACACAACTTCATCTTCACCTTCATCCCCGTCGTCTACGGATGCAATTTCGTCATCGGGATCATTGGCAATAGCATGGTGGTGGCTGTCATCTACCGCTACATGAAGTTGAAGACAGTAGCGAACGTGTTTGTGCTCAATCTAGCCATATCGGACCTCACCTTCCTTATTACGCTACCTTTGTGGGCCACTTTCACAGCTATGGGTTACCATTGGCCGTTTGGGACCTTCCTGTGCAAGGCAAGTGCCGGATTGGTCATCTTCAACCTCTATACTAGCATATTCTTCCTCACCGCTCTTAGCATTGATCGATATCTTGCTATCGTGCATCCAGTGCGCTCCAGACGCCAACGAACGCTTTTCTACGCCAACCTCACGTGTGTACTCATATGGCTGTTTGCCTTGCTCCTCAGTGCACCTACAGCGTTAAGCCGGGATGTGTACGACATTGGGAACTCTACATTGTGCGCCGTGTGGCACCGCAGTGAGCAGATTAACTTGTTAGTTACCCTTAGCGTGCTAAAAAGCGTGCTAGGTTTCTTTGTGCCTTTCCTCGTCATCATCACCTGCTACTGTCTGATTGGTCGGGCACTTCTGGGTTCCAGGGGTCTGTTGAGGAAAAGCGTTCGCTCTCGGGAAGACGAAACTCTTCGTATGATAGCCGCTACTGTGCTAGCTTTCTTTGTCTGTTGGGCTCCTCACCAAGCTTTCCACTTCATGGAGCTGCTGGCCACGCTTGGCGTAGTGGAAAACTGCCAAACACTGGATGTTATTGACACAGCCATGCCTGTTACCATCTGCATCTCCTATTTAAACAGTTGTGTAAACCCCATTCTTTATGGGTTTGTTGGACACAACTTTCGCAAGAACCTACTGAGGTTACTAGACTGTGGGTCTGGACAATCTAGCAATAACTTTAGCATTAGCTCAAAGATGAACGTCAACTCCCATTGTACCTCTGGTCTGCTCAACCCAACAAGCTCCAAGAACGATTCAACATCCACTGTTAAGACATCTTAAGTGTAAAAGCCATAGCTGAAATTTTGTATTTATCTGTTTTGGGATTTTGAGTGGTACTATAAGATATTTTTTGATAAGATAACAACATACTTGGCTAATGCACTGACAAAGCATAGTTCTGATAAATATATGAGTTACGGTATCAATAAAAATGCTCTCTAATCATAGGAGCGATAGGATTGCCTTCAAATGTCCGTTCCATTAAGATGTGTTATTCTGCTAAAATGTGTTACTCACCAAGATATGTTATTCTGCTATAACCATGTTAACTTACTAAGATTCTTCATTATGACTGCAGAGAAAACTGAACATAGAATAAATAGTTTATGGCAATAGCTGTTAGTGCCTAAAACTAATGGTCTGCTTCTCTGGGAAGTTTTCTTTTTCAAGTCAGATGTGCTTGTATCACGTTATTTGCGGTCTGACACATTTAAGAATGCAGATTAATCACAGATTAATGCAATGAATTTGGCATTTGAATACATACACTGAATCAACTTGTTTTTATTTATTTAACATTTTATTTTAAATCATTTCTTTTCGTAACGATAGACCATATATATCACATACAATCTTAAAAATATAAAATAAAATAATTAGAATAAAAAATATATTGCATATTGCAAAAACTATGTATAGGTGATACTGTGTATATACTTATCCTGGTCACTCTTTTTTCACTTTAAATAATGTATTTTACTTAAACCACTATGAATACAACATCTTTGAATGCAGCACAACAGTGTAAAATGTTCAATTATATCTGTGACCCAATTAATTCAAATACTTGAGATTGTGTCTCTGTAGTGCAACTGTAATGTTTCAAGACCTTTCTAGAAAAAAATAAAATCAGGTGATAACTGTAGTAAGATATTAATCACTTCTATATGAGATATGCATGTGAAAACCATAAACACTGAAAATAAAAAAAAATAAAAAAAATTATAAAAATTTTTTTTAAAAAAAAAAAAAAAAAAAAAAAAAAAAGAGGCAACAAGACAAATCTGCCAGCTAACAATTATCTTGTAGAACCAATCTTGGCCACCAGATGGCAATATCAGATAATTCTTAAAAGCCACCAGAATTTCTGATGTATAGTTATGGAATTATAGAACTGCAAGTTTTTGTAAATATAAATCAAGACAAAATGCTTCATTACAGCATCTTTTAATACAGCAGATCTTTCAAATAAATGAACATACCTCAGGTTACATGGTTGCATTAGAATTTGAAATGAATACAGTACAACGTGCGGGTGCTCTACCTGGCACTTGTATATTACAATTCAAAATGAATATCTTGATATATCACGGTATATGCATGGGTACCCCATGTTACTGGTAACCTATGTTAGATATTATTTATTTATAAATTGTTTTAGCTAGTTTTAAAATGGGCCATCATTGTCTTTGCAGGGTCATGTTTGAAAATCTTCAGGAGGCTGTTGAGGCTCAGATGGACAACAAGAGGGCGACAAAGGCCCATGACTACACAAAGTACAACAACTGGGCGACGGTATGATTGCAAGTGCACTCATAGTAACCTGTAAATATAGAATTCTCCTTTCCAGGTGTTTTATTTATTTATCTTTATTCTCACCTACAGATTAATGATTGGGTAGTCTCCATCAGCTCTGCCAATGCTGACCTGATCAGCAGGCAGGAGATCGGTAACACTTATGAGGGACGTCCCATGCACCTTCTGACGGTAAATCCCTGCCTCTGCTAGTCACTTAACAACACTCTGTATACCCTTGTGAAAAAGACGAACACTTGAGCATTTTACAGAAATGTTCTCCCTTCAAGTACAGTTAAGTGGCCTTTTGTTTTCAAAATGACCTGCCATGATTACCAGTACAATAACGTTGTTTAAATATTATATTATCAATTATATATATATATATATATATATATATATGGTTGGTTTTGACAATGAAAACAATGCAATTTTTCCTTTTCCACAGATTGGGAAGAAAACAGGCTCTGCTAAGCCAGCCGTCTTCATGGACTGTGGCTTTCATGCCAGAGAATGGATCACCCATGCTTTCTGTCAGTGGTTCATAAATGAGGTACAGGAAAATATATATATATATGTATATTTATTTTTAAACTGAGGTCTTTCATTCAAGAGATCTATAAATCTAAACTTTGTTTTACTTATGGTTAGGCTGTGTCCACATATGGCAGTGACCCTGAGATGACCAACCTTCTGGATAGAATGGACTTCTTTGTTTTGCCTGTCTTCAACATTGATGGTTATGAATACACCTGGACCAACGTACGTTCATATCATGTTCAGTATTTTCATATATGCTCTAGCTATATAGCCTACACACAGTGAACATTTTTGAGAAACTTAACTGAATTTATGTTTCTTTTGTGTTTCTCATCTTTAAAAAAATATTTAGATTTAAATACTTATGATTAAAGGTGCTTTCAGTTTTACATAAATTATACTGATATTAGTGAATATTAGAGAGCGGTCTGCAGAACAAATAATTCAATTACATGCAATTACATGCTCAACAAAAAAGCTATTTGCTACTCACGCTATACTCTCCCTCATCACATCTTCCCCTGTGTGAATCTCGTACCGCTGTTTCGTTCTTTTGGCTTCAGATTTTTCTTCTTCGGTTGTACAGGTACTGATTGTCTCTGCGGCAAAAGACAATGATAAGTGTGATCCATTATGTATTTTTTTGCTATGCGTAGCGTATTCAGATGAGCGCCAGGAGTCCCTCCGACAGTGTAACAAGTTACATCATTTCAACATAGTGACCCGCATTGTACATAGTTAAATCACTTTTTTACAGTTTTCATTTGAGACAATCTACACCATTCCGATGACTCCTCAAAATATGACTTATTTCTTAATTTTGTTGACAAATATAAATTATAAATACACCAACGTCTATTACTTCACTGAAATATTTCATATTATCTCTTTCTATCAATTCTAAAATGCAGAGGGAAGAATTCATGTCCAAACTCAAAGTGTGCATCGATTTGGGAGACATTGTGAATTGAATATGAATATGGTCAAGAGTGAAAAAAGAAAATGATCTGAAAGGTCTTGTTTTGATCCCACAGGACAGGATGTGGAGAAAGACCCGATCCAGGAACAGTGGTAGCAGCTGTATCGGTACCGACCCCAACAGAAACTTTGATGCTGGATGGTGCAGTGAGTACTTGCTTCCTTCATGACGTTCACAAATAATGTCATATTTCCCTGTTCCATGAAATATGATTGATGTATGCCATTCACTTCCCAGCCGTTGGAGCTTCCAGCAACCCTTGCAGTGAAACCTACTGTGGAAGCAGCATAGAATCTGAGATTGAGTCTAAGAATTTGGCCAACTTCATCCGCTCCAACAAGTCCATCATCAAGGCCTACCTGACTGTCCACTCATATTCCCAGCTGCTCCTTTTCCCCTATTCCTACAAATATGATCTGACTGCTGATCACTCAGAGCTGGTACGTTTGCATTGAAGCTCACTGCAAAAATGGCATGTGCCTTTGAGGTTTCTGACTGACATGAGTCTTGTATCTTGTCTTTTTTGGTAGCTGAGTGTGTCTCAGGGAGCTATTGCAGCTCTGCGCTCCCTGTACGGAACCAGATACACTAGCGGCCCCGGTGCTACGACCATCTGTGAGTATAAAGAGTCCAAGATAAGCTCTGGTCTAAAACCTACATGTAGTGAACTGCCTACATCCTTCTAGGCAGGGCCGTCGCTAGTGGGGTGAAAGGTGGGGACGATCACAGGGGCCCACGGCTGAGGGGGGGCCCCCGGCGATCTCAACCGACTGGCTGAGGCCAGCCTAAAAAAAAAGTTGACGGGCCACTGCTGCGCATCGTCATGAAAGCTTATCATTTGCACGTGTTTTTAAGCCTTGCCCATTTAAACATCCAAAAGAGTTTAAAGCATTCAAACACAAGACTCAACTATACTCGCGCGCCGTCTTCGGTGCCGTGTTCATGGACAGCAACACCGAACCGAGCTCTCCTTCGTGTCCTCCTGCATCTGAACGAACAAATACAAATCGCAGTTTCAACATGCAAACAGAAAAAGATGGGAAAGAGCCCAATTCAGCACCCACGCGCAGTGTTCTGTGCGCACAGGGCGCACGCAGAAAAACGCGTCTCAAAGCGCTTGAACACCGAATTTGCCTTGTACAGATAAATACATACAAAATTATTTCAAAATACCCGTCTCGGAGAGTATCCTCGAAAAAAACTGTCGGTTATGTTTTAAGTGAAAGGAAACAGTGGAGAAAGAAGTCGTATGTGTATCATTATAATGCATTGTCTCTTAAAGTGACCACGCCTAATTTAGCTACTAGCTGCTGTCGGTGTCCTTAATGTTAATCCAAGAAAATGAAAGAAAGAAAATCACTCACTGCTCTTGACTGAATTCCTTTTTAGTTTTAACAAGAATTAATCCACAGTCAAACCAAAAATTATTCACGCACCAGATAGAATTTTTTTATATTTTTTACTGGGTGCAGGACACTATAGTTAATTTATGTAAGTGAGATTAGCAAAATCAAATAAACTGTGACATATTATATCCAAAAATTCTTCATGCAGTGGACTACCGGTAAAATTGATAAAAAAAAAATTCCCCAAAAAAATTGTTCCCATTTTTTTTCTGAAAAATTATTCAGACACTTTGACCTGACCATGTTTTGCTTAAGTGTTTTTTTCTTTAATTGCTAATGCGAATTTTACACCACATACTGAACTAAATGAAGCATTGCTTGGTAATTGGTCAACAAAGTATTGATAGTAGTGTAAATATTGTCATACTAACAGTTTGACAAAGTTTTTGGTTGATTGTATTCCATTACAAACCTTTCTATCGAAGTTATCTGACATTATCAATATGAATTTGTTCTGACAGTTCTTGTCATATTGTATTATCATTTTCTAAACTACAGCAAATCAACTGTGATAATGTGAGAAATGTTGAAGGTGTCTGAATACATTTTGGTTTGACTGCAGTGTTTCCCATTCGTTAACATTCGTGGGTGTGGAGGTCCACCCACCACAGTCTCACAAAATCCTATGGGAAACACTGGAATGTATATTTAATTTTTACAGTGAAGACTATGCAGTGCTATTTTGCATTTGATTATTCGGTTTCTGTACCTGGACACCTACAAACTTGAAAAAACGTAAACATTGTGTAAATAGCACAAATAAATAAATGGAACGAACATACAAATTAAACAATTTCAAACAGGGCCCACTGGTACAACCTGCACTAGGGCCCCGCAAACCCCAGCTACGGCCCTGCTTCTAGGCCTCTATCTTCAGTGTTCTCACTGGAATGGACTGGTTTGAAATGCTCTACAGGCAGCAACTCGCAAGTTGTTTCCAAAAGAAGCTAGCATGTTCCTAAGATAACAATGTAATGCTCTAAGTATGCTGCTGTGATTTTTATTATTATTGGCTTTTGGATTATAGTAGAAAATATGCTCTATGACCAACAGAGATTTATGATTCTTACACATTTTG